ATCACACTGAGGTGTGAGTTGATGGCCTGGCCTGAGGGGCAGCCTGGCCACAGGACAGGGGTCTCTGTGAAGTCAGGGCATCGCTTGTCTTCCTTCTCTGCCCCACCTTCTGTGTCCTGCTCAGCAGAAGGGCTGTGAAGTGTGGGAGGCAGCTCTTCCCTGGCCTCCCCGCTCCACATGCCTCCAGATGGTCTCTCCCGGGCTGTGCCCCTCCCAGGCTGTTCGTGGGGCACAACCTCAGAGGAAGAGGTGGCACAGGGACACTTGTGTCCTGACCAAGTTGAGCGAGACAATGTCTGGCTCTAAGGCAAAACTGACAGGCCTGCTGTCCAGACTCCAGTGGAGGAAAGACCTGGGGTTCCCCGCCCCCAAGCAGTTTCTGTGCTGCAGCGCAGTAATGGTGTGCAGGGCCCTCCAGGCCCCCTTTGTGTTGTCCCTTGGGAATTGGAGCTGGGCTTTGACAAAATGCCAATGCTCTGGCTCCTAATCATACTAAGGATGGTGAATCTCTGCCTCTCATCCAAGGGGACCGTGTCCTCTGCCAGCAGCCAGAGAAAACCAGTCAGCTTCTTGGAGTGGAAAAAGTGGAATCAAAGCTGCTTAGGCTTATTGACAGGAGATGGTCAGTTCATTCCAGGGCCCAGGGACATCCTTGGCTCAGCTCCCGATGTGAGCAGAAATGTATTCGTCCCATCTGTAGTGTCCTTGCTATCATTGAGAGCTTTTACTGTTGACTAGAACCTTCACTGAATCCTAGTCCCTGAGGAAAGCACACCCCATATACAGTGTCCCACAGCCTCCATTCTACCAAAAACACCTGTCCCCGTTTCGTTATGCTGCCCACCCAAGAGAGATGGCTTTATGCTATGGTCTTGTAACCGGTACAGGGCAAACCTTGGTTCTCCTAGTAACCAGTCTCCACCGGGAAAGCATTCCTACCCTTAACTTACAGCAGCTCTTTTGATATTTGCTCAGCCAGCATTCTGTGGAGTCTTGTGTGGAGATGGGCTACAGCCAGCTGTCTGCTTCAAGATACGCTACTTGCAGTTCTAAGTTCCTTTCTAACCTTCCTCAAGGTTAATAATCCAAAATCTTCATTCACTGTACAACCTTTGAAAAATTATTTACCTACTTATCAAGCAATACTGGGGATTGAATTCAGGGCCTTTGCACTGAGTTACACCCTCAGCCATTATTATTATTGTTACTACTACTAGTACTATTACTACTACTGCTACTTTTCTTTTGAGACAGAGTCTCGCTAAGTCATATAGTTGCACAGGCTGGCCCTTACAGTCTTGATCTTCCTTCTTTGCCTCCCAGAGTGCAGGGATTATAGGCATGTGCCATCATGCCCAGCTATATTCTTGAAGCAGCCTTAAAGTTATGAAACAGTTGAAAGAATGATAAAAAGACTTTCTGTATATAGTCACAGGTATGTATCTGTGGGTTCCACATCCTCAGATTCAACTAGCCATTGACTGACAATATTGAAGAAAAACTTGCATTTGTACTGAAATATCTAGAGACTTTTCTCTGGCTTACAGAGCATAGCAACTGTTTACATAGCATCGACAGTGTCTTGGATATCTAAGTAATTGAGAGGTGACAAGATATACAAGAGGATGTGTGTAGGTCACAGGCAAATATGACACCGGTGTGGGTAAGAGAATTGAGCATCTGTGGGTTTGGTGTCTTTGGAGCTATAGAGCCAGTGCCACGTGGATGAAGAAAGATGACTGTCTTTGTCGCCTGAGACCCCCGTTCAAACATTACACCATGTCTGAGCAGTAATGTCTTCATGGCACAGTTGCACGGCATGGGGCCTGCATTGCACCCAGCTGTCACGTCCCTCGGATCACACTGGCTCAGCTTTTGTTACCCTTGGCTCACACTGCCTTGATATTTCTGAGAGGCTTAGGCTAGGCACTGAACACGTCGTTCATCTTGCGCTTTGTGGTTCGGACAGGCCATCTATTCCAGTTGTACCTTACCAGGGCGACAGGAGGCTGTCTGTCCCAGTTATGATGCTGATAATGCTAATCACTTGGTTGAGGCAGTGCCAGATCTCCTCCCTGAAGCCACTTCCCTATTTGTAACCGAAACATATTTTGTAAGACACTTTGAGACCATGCAGTTGTGGTCTTCTTCCATTCTCACCCCCACGTTAGCGTCCTGTCGTCCTCCCCATTCAGTGACTGGAGGACTATCTGTGATTCTCTAGTTGTATTGCTCCTGCAATTACTAGTCAGCATTCTCCTTTCAGGGAAGTCCCCCTCATTTGTTTATTCTTCTGTTAGTATTGGTTTAGGGGCGTAGCTCCTCTTTTATCCCACTGGTTACAACCCATTAGGGTATTTACTTTGATGGTCAATCAGATTTGGCCAATAGGAGCACCTTTAGGGCATATTTTTAGTCCTTTTGATACAGTCCCATGATTCCTTGAGCCCTTTTTACTTATTTTCTGACACAGTAAATTGTTTTCCCAGCCCTTGGCTCAGCTCTTTCTCCGAGAAGCCCGGGGTCTCTCTAGTGGAGATTGGTATTTAGAAACAAAAGGCTGAGTGGTGATGGGTACTTATGGCCACCGAACAGGCAGGCAGAGCTGGGGATGCCGTGTGTGTGTGTGTGTGTGTGTGTGTGTGTGTGTGTGTGTGTGTACATGCATACACGTGCGTGCCCCCACTGTCTGCATCTGTGTGCAGCACCTATGTCTCTGTTGATCCCGATTCACACAGGTGGCCCACACCTCCAACACCACATTTCCTGTATCTTCTCTCTGTATCTGCTTTCCTGTCCAATGGGGAGGCACCTGGTGCTACTACCACTATCTGCATATTTATTTAGCTGGATTTCATGGCCCAAAAAATGTGTTCTTATAATATCGATGTATGACTTTTTATTTTAAATAAAAAAGATACCTGCTTTCTCTTATTACCTCTCTTTGAAGTTCTTACCCTATTTTTAAAGGACATTTTATCCTTTGGAAAGCATAAGGTTTTATGCTACTGAAATATAGAAACCATTGTCAGTGAGTCCTGTGTGACCTACTCTTGTCACAAATGTACTTAGGAATGTTAGGTCTAGTCATTTTTTCTAATAAAGATTCTTAATTGGTCTTCCCAAAAAGTAAAAGAAGGAAGATGGGGGGGAGGGGGAGAAACCCAATTGTGTCCCCCAGATTCACGCCCAGAGTTACTGTCTTTAGAGTCAAGGGCATTAGGAAGATCGTTAAGATTAAGCAAAGTCACGAGGTAGGGCCCTAGTCCAACAAGACTGGCATCATGTGAGGAAGAGACACTAGCGATCTCCCTCAGTCACGTGAGGACACGGAGAAGACACCATGTGCACGGAGGGTCTTGCCAGAAGCCAGCCCTGCTGGCACCTGCACTTGGAGTGTGGCCTTGGAATTCTGGGAAGATAAAGCTGCTTGCTTTGAGGCTGTTTGTGGTACTGGTTTGGCAGCCCTGGGAGGCTCACTGAACACCAAACTCAATGACTGGCTTAGCTCTCCTTTTTGTGTCTCTCTTACAAATTCCCAATTCCAGTGAGTCATTCACAGCTTATAAAGTCACGGCACTGTGCAGTAACGTGCATCTGCTGACCTCCCTCAGCTCCTCCACCATCCGCTCTGGCCCTTCCTTCACCCTCTGTTCTGAGCCATGTCTGGGGCCTCATGGCCCAGGTCCGCTGCCCACACCCAGCACTCTCTCCTCTGGTGCACTGGCACCCACACTCCTTGGTCTGGGTTGAGTGGCACGGGCAGAGGTGCAAGCTGATTGGAAACACGACAACACAGTAGCTGGGGATCCTGCACTTGCAGCCCTCATGGTGCCCCTGGACCACAGCAGTGCTTAAGGCCCACGCCGTGAGAGGCACGAGAGGGACTGTATCTGCAGGAGTCCAAAGCCCTTCTCACAGAGCTTCTTAGTCAGTGCGAAGGGGAGATATGTCAGCCTCTCTAGATGTGTGCACAGGGAGAGCACAGCTCTGGGCTCACTTTCTTTGCTTTGTGTATTTAAAAAAAAAAAAAACATATATATATATATATAATATGAATACTTCATTATCGTGGCAAATGCTACATTAAAATATGCCCTTGGTTTATGATTTCATACATTTCCTACATGTATAAGATGAAATTAGATGTGTCAATGAAAGAACACAACGTTATAAAGTGTGATTATCTTTGCACAGTTTCCTGCATCCCTCCCTTGGGAGTGGTTTTGGTAGAAGGGAAGAGGGAGGGGGGAGGCACGGTTCTGAGTCAGTCAACTGTGCTTGCAGTATGAAAATGGCACCGCCCCCCAAATGGGTACATTCCGAGCTCCTGTGTCTCTGTACTCAGGTTATTTTGTCAAGGGTGGGGTCAATATGCCCCAGAAAAAGGGGCTTCTGCAATCCCAGTCATTCTAGAGCAGGGCTCACAAATGAGGACAGTTTCTCAGCAGCTACCGAGAACAGAACCAATGGTTCTGTTAAAAGCAACACATGATGTAAAAGAGCTTTTCAGCTTATCTGTTTGAAAAAAAAAGTCCTGTAACCAAAGGCAACTGTAATCAAAAGAAAAAAACCACTTAATGGTGTCATTCTCTGTGCCAGAGAAAATGTGACAGCGTAACTTTTTCAGGGCTCCTCGGTTCGCATTTATACTGGTGTTTACACTGGCAAAACAAGATGTAAAGACTTTAAAGCATGTCTTCAAGGCTGGGGCATAGCTCTGGGGTAGAGCACTTGCCTAGCACTCACGAGTCCCTTGGTAAAAGGAAGCGTGTCTTCAGATTAATAGAAACTTCTTTTCCCCCTGAGCTGGCAGGTCAGCGCCTTGACAATCACCGCACTCCACTGTGTATTAGTGTGGAACCATCTGGTGACAGTGCCCTCTAGAGCTCGGGACTCATGACCAGAGGACACACACACCAACGTCAGCTCCTGAGACAGGACCAGCACCTGCCATGTGCTCACATTCTACAAATCAAAACACAAACTAAGACACCCAGGCAGAGAGTATTGCAAGTTTATTATTTCATTTCAATATTGACGAACAGTATGTGGGCCCATGGCCCCGTTTTGCAGCCCCTGCTGCCCGGACGTAGCCACAGGTGAGTTCACTCAGCCGATATCAGTGTAGAGGGCGAGTGCTCATTCGAAAATTTGGAGGGTTTATTTCCAGAATTTTGTTCCCTTCTTCTAATATATTAATAGGTATTACTTTAAACCCACACTAAACATTTGGAATTAGAACGGGATTAAAAGATGTATTCTGACATTATGTAGACTATTTACTCCTCACCTTGGTTCTAAGGGAGAATGGTGCAGTGTGGGAGTCTCAGGAAGGTTTCTGAAGATGAGCTAAATCAAAAGGCAGGAGTCAGTGGGTTAGCAGGAGACACCGGGAGTCAGCAGAAGTTAGAAGAGGGTCGATGCAGAGGCTTCTCGCAGCCCTGTGTCTCTGTTAGTGATTCGAGGAGGGGCACTCTCCAAGGTCACTCGCTAAGGAAGGTCACTTATAGGACAGGAAGCTATCTTTTCATTGCTCGTTAGTGTGTGCCGGTGAACACTGCCATTGTGAGCTACGCATGGTGGTCACACTCAACATCAAGAAGTGACCAAGGACACCATGAGGACACTCAGAGAACTCCTGCAGTCCCACTCTGAGATGCACCATCTCCCTGGACTCTCCGCCTGGGCTCTGGTGGGGAAACGGGGTTCTTGATTGTGGCTGTCGAGGTGGCTGCTGTGCAGAGCGACAGTGCCATCCGGAGGCCACACGAGCCGCATCTTCAGCATCTAATCTCCCACAGTCCCGTTTCCCATTTGGGGCCATCGCCCAGCCCATCTGCCTCCTTTCCCTCCCTCTGCCACGCTCGAGTTCAGCTGGTGGGGTGTGGGGCAGTCGGCCCGGGCCCCCTCTGCGCTGCCCCACACTGGACTCTCACAGCTGCCCAGCCCGCGTCCACATACCGAAGCTCCCTTGTGTCGAAGCCACTCCTTGACTGTCTAATCCTGTTAGGAAAAATAAAATGTGCTCTAGGTGAGAGAATGGCAGGGAAAGAAAACAAAGGAAGCTTGGATCATAACAGTCGCCCCACGCCCGTGTTCTCTGGTTTCACGGTGCTGTTTCTCAATGGCAGTGTCGGCAAAAGCTCGGGGGATGCCCCATAAGGGTGAAAACAGGTCCGAGGATGGAGGGAGGTGAACTGGGAGGGGCGCCTGTGCACTGGGACCTGCGGAGAATGGCCTGGTGTGCAATGGGCGGGGAGGGCCCGGGGGAAACGCCATCCTCATCAGAAAAGACAGTTTTCACCAGATCTGTCTTCATCTTCTCTATTTGACTGTTGGCTGGAAGTGCCGTAGGTTGCTGTGTGCCTGGCCCACTGTGTGCACAATGCAGCAGGATTAGGTGACAGGTGATCTGCGCTAGCTAGCTAATTGATGCAGGTGGAATTAAAGTTTAAGGCAATTAGATTAAGAAGCTGAGGACAGGACTCGGTAAGGATCAGGCAGGGGTTCAGCGTCTCGCCATGGGAGATCCAGAGCGGCTGTCTCTTCCTCCCTAGGAAAAGGCAGAGACAGAGTTAGGAGAGCTGCTATGGCCTGTCCCCACTGAGTGTCACTCTGCCCACCAACATGCCCTGTCTGTGGTCACCTGACTGCCAGTCACCTGGGACTCTCCTCTGCACCTGCACCACAAAGCAAACTTTTCTTTTCCCCCTCAGACTCTCCTTTAGCAAGTGCTCGTTGCAGCTGCAGAACCACACAGTAGAAGCACTTGAGCTGGGGTTGCAGGACAGCTCACGGCTGGTGCCTGCTCTGATTGCATTTCTGTGGGTGGATGCTCTCTGGATCGCTGTGCTTTGTAGGAGCACTTCATTTCTCCAGCTAGAGAGCCCAAGGTAATGGAGGGATGCTGTGAACTGACACAGGAATGATGACATACTGGGAGAGATTTAGTGGGATGTGCCCCAGAAAAGAACCCAGCAAGGCCGTGGCTCTCCTGGCACAATGTCTCCGTGTTCCTCTCCTGTGCACCATGCCGAGATAAGTCATTCACACAGAGCGATATCCACACTGATGGAGAGAGCCTGAAGACCACACATTGCTGTGGATTTCTGGACTGCAGTGATCTCTCACCTATCTCGGGAGTTAGAGAACCCCGTGATAGGTGAAAATCCATGAAGTAGCAGCATTATATTTATTTTATTATTTATGTATATTTTAAGGCTTTATAAACCCTTCCCACACTGCTATAAACCTTTCCCACTCTCTTATTAACCTTTCCCACACTCTTATTAACCTTTCCCACACTCTTATAAACACTTCATATGTTCTTAAATACTTTCTACACTCTTAAACCTATGCAATTTTAGCAACATGTAAAATGCTATATGGGTACTCATCAGTGAGGTATACTACAACGTGAATGATGAAGATCATGAATTACTGTAAGTACAGTTTTTTTAAAAACCCGCGATACAGTGAAGCCGCAATAAGTGAATCGCAACATAGCAAGGGACGACTGTAATACAATTTGCAATGGAAAGGAGAAGAGTGGGCAGTTAGATTGAGTGGGAGCCCAGGTGGGCCGTGGTGGGAGGGGAGCTGGGTGTGGGCTTTGCTGGAGAAGCTGAGCTGGTTTGTTACACCCAGTGTCCCTCAGACTGACCTGGGGGAACTGTACTGCTCTGGGTGGAGTCATTTCTCTCTCTTTTTTTTTTGTATTCAAATTTTATTCTCTTTCTCCTTGGCTTTTCCTTTCTTTTCTCAGGTTGTGGATGAAAAATTGACCTATCAAAGATTTTGCTTGGACTGGGAGCCCTCAGGAGGCAATGGATAACAGAAAGATGCTGTGCATAGCATTCAGGCCTGCACTGTGGTCACCTGGCCTGCTGCTTCTGTGCACTCAGGGTTACTCATGATACAGGCTGAGGCCAAAGATACTTGTAGAGCAGTAAGCAGATTAAGACATGGGTGCTCACTCCATGGACTTTACTCTTCCCCACCTACATGTGGAAAGCTAAAGAGCTTCTGTGTGTTGACTGCATCATCTAAGAAATGTTTTCACAACTGAAAATGTTTGAAGTTCAGCCTTTCAGGCAAGCAATCATCTAGTGATCCTTCCCCTCCCTAGGAAAGCCACCTTCCCAGGGGTCTGCGAGGCCAGAGACTCAGGAGCAGGAGTCCTTGTCCGCCTGGAGCAGCTGGACTGTGCCTGAGACTCTACCTCACATCCTAAAGGCTGGCCTCTGTCCCCTTGAGGAGCTTTGTTCCTGGAAAGTTGTGTAAACAGTGTTTTACAAAGCACAGCCCAACTGAGCTGGAGTGGAAAGGTTCACGGCATACAGCTAAGATGAGGGACTTACTACTCTGACTCTTTGACGCTTCTTTGGAATGAAGTGCTAGACCTATGATGTTACTCTCTATCACTGCCCCCACCATTCATTGAGAACCTACTAGGAACAAAACTTCACTCATCTGTTTTCCCTTTTGTACTCACAGCCAGCCCTCGAGTATATGCTCTTATCTTCATTTTATAGTTGAGGGGTCAAAGGGTCAGAGGGGCTGAGTCATTTTCCCAAAGTCAACCAGCAGGCAGAAGGGACCCAGGAGGGGAAGTGGCAACATGGTGGCTTCTGTCTCACCTTTCCCTCTTTGTGCTTTGCACCTGTGTGTGCCATCTGACCTGTGCTTGTGGGCCCTGGCTCCTCCTTCCTCCTGAGGGCAGGAAGCTAACAGGCCCCACGGCAAGCACGCACCCACTGCTCCTCCCAGGCGACACCCACAGCTGCAGAGAACACTCCAGGAGGCAGAAGTTCCCTTTCTGCACTTGGGAATAAGACACGGTTCCCAAGTTACAGAAGGACCTGACGGTTCTGTCAACTCCAGTCCTGATGGCAGTACTGGATGCCAAATCAGAGCCCACACCCAGGTGCCCACTTCCAGCAGTGTGAGAAGAGCAGGGCACAGCAGCAGTCTCAGTGACAGTAAGTGCCATAGGGTCCCTGACATGGCCACCTGCGTGCCGCCAACCCTCCTCCGCGTCGCTGGGGGGGCTTTTCAAAGAAACACACTGTCCTTGTCAATGCATCCCGCCATTTGATCACAGGAGGTCAGCTATACACTTGGGCATTTTATGTAGTAAAGTTTAATTGTAACCATATGCATTCAAATTTGTTTACATTTGCTAAAGTTTCCCTTGAACTATAATAGAAACTTTTAAAAATTTTACAAATCTTACAGAAAGAACTTCAGGGGAAAACTTCAGCATACTTAAGAAAACGAGCTGCACTTACTACGTTACCTATGCATAAGAAATGTGTGGCTTTCAGCACAGCTGTTCTGTGCTATGGGCCATGGCCAGCTCCGGCCATCAAGCATCTGGCAGGACCAGTGGGCAACTCTTACACATGTCACCAAGGACCACGTATTCCAGGCAGAGCCTCTGAACCGGCCGGGCCTCTGTCCCCTGAGCATGGCTCGATCTCAGCAGGTCTGACACTCGCTAGGTTGCGGGCAGTGATTAGTGGTGCAGATCGGACAGGCCCACATTTCTCGGAGGAGTGCAGTTACAGGACAGCCTGGGAAATGGGGCAGGTGCCAGCATGTGGGGCTCTTGGGTATAGATGTGGTGGTCTGGGGCACCCAGGCATGGGTTGGGTGCCCAGGGGGTTCAGGGAGGGTGATCTCCTGGCCAGTGCTGAGGTCACTCAGAGACACTGATGTTCTACACCCTGCCATTGTCCCATCCACCCAAGGCAGAGTGTATCAGGAAGGTCCTCTTGCTTGAATATTTGGGTTGACTTTCTTTTCTTACCTGAATTGCCTTGGGGTGTACCTTGAGTTCTGAATCCTGCCTACACCTTCCCTGACATAAAGACGGCAGCGGCTCAGTTCCTTTTCACTCATGGCGCACGTTTGAGGCTCTTCCTGACCAACTTTCCCCAGAAGCAGGGCCATGCTGTGTATCACCTGTGTGTGGCCCACAGAGCCTCTCAGGGCCAGGCTGAGACACAGACACACACGCACCATGGACACATCTTGACTTCTGGGCAGACAGCAGCTCACACACACACAACACGTGGAACTAAAGATTAGGTGGCCAAATTCAACAACCATTTGTGCTGCACTCCAGATCATTTGTCCACATATTTTAAAACCCTGATGTCTGGATCAGCAACTAGGAAGTGTGAGCAAGGAGGTCAGAGTTTCCTATCAGTAACAGTTTGATGAAGGAATCGTCTGTACCTCCACCTCCAGGGTGCCCGGGGCTCAGTGTCACAGGGACAAGGCAAGAGCATAGATCTTTAAGTGAATAAATCTCATGGCAGACATGAGCAACCCACATACAGTGGAGCCCTTTTGGGTCAAACCGAGTTGGCTGCAAGCCCAGTGGACATTTCCAGATCAGGCCAGGCAACCCCAGACTCCTTTCTCATCAGCAGTAACACCTGAGACCTGAAGCCGCAGAAACTTAGCTTCCTAAACACACGGCAGCCAGAACTTGAGGACACATAGCGGAAAAGCTGTACGCGGAATAAGGGTCAGGAGTGCGTCTGTCACACCTGGATCCCAGCCCAGGAGACTGGATGCTGCCATCAGGGTGCAAGGACATGCTCATATCTCCATTGCCCTCACAGTCCGCCCTTCCTCGTCTGCAGGAGCGCATGCGGGAATGCTAACTTCTCACCACAACAGACAATAAGGGAATTGTTCAAGACTTGAATTTTTGTTGACCCTGTGTTGTAGGTCATAGATTTATGCTTTACTGTCCTAACCGATGAACTCCAATTTGCTGGCTTCTGTCTTCCTCATTGTGTGTCTCTGGGTGGGTGAGGAGGCTGACTTTGCAGAGCCTCCTAAGTAATTATAGTAGTGATTTTTTCATATCAGCACATCGCGCAGGGGAGCAGCTCCCTCGTCTGTTCACGAGTGAGTGAAAATGGCACCTCCGGCTGTTGTAACAACAGGTTAAGTAGGGACAGCAGTTCGGACTGTGTTCATTCGGTGACAGCGACGGCCATCAGTAATGACCTCAGATGCAGGGACAGAAAGTTCTTCCTCAGAGCCCTGACCCAGGGCGGGGAGCTGTCTCCTGTGAAAGGCGGTGACTTATCTCACTCGGCTCCCTGAAATGTGCATGTATCAATCGCCAAACCCCTTAGTGGGTAGGTATAAACCCCAAGGCCTCTTCTTGCATCCAGCCCAGAGAACCCCAAGTTGTCACCATGTTCCCTCGTCTCTGCCAGAGACACGTGATTGGGACTTCAACATTAGCATGCAGGTCACACCTGTCATTTAGCCCCTGGAACTGCTTGGTGCCAGATTCAGGGACAGAGTCAGGATCTGCCTTCCCAGGACACTCTCCCCACCACCCCGGGCCAGCCTGTCACCACTCCTCCTCCTGAGCCCTCCGAGGCCTTCTCCTACTCTGCTCCTCTGCCCAGAATGCTGTTCCCACCTGTGCAAGGCTGACTCCTCACGTCCTTCAAGTCTTCGCAATGAGCTGTCTGCCCCTCCTGGTCTTCCCTGCTACCCCCTCTGGTGCTGTAACCACTCTCTCACACACTGTGCGTGGTAACTCCTCATATCCTTCTCTCTTGCGGAATTTATTTTGCTCACTTTGTGGCCCTCACCCTTCTAGAACACAAGCCTGCTCCCTTCTGTCCCTTCTGCCACCTCAGGCATCTGGGCCAGGTACTCCGCCTGGCCCTCGGGTGCACACCCAGCCGGAGTCCCAGCCCCTGTGCCAGGTGGGGCTGCTTCTTGCCAGCTTGCGCCCATCCCACCAGGAGCAGAGGTCACCTGGGCTCCTCCAGAGACCCCTCCCTCTGGAGACAGTGACCACCTTAGGATGGCCCTTTCCCCAGGCTCGATGCCTCTGGCCTCTGAGCAGTTGAGACAATGCTTATGTAAACACTCTTTCTGTGCAGGGCCTGTGACCTTCCTGTGTCAGCAGCCCAGGAGACCCTTGCCTGGACATCCTTATCACCTCCACAGGCCACAACAGAGGCCAGACGAACAGAGGCCAGATGGGCCCTCTGTATACTAAGTACCCTAGAGTTAAAGTATGGGTAAAGTGGATAGACAATGAGGCCCGCTGTTGGCACAGGCTCTGGGGGCAGGTGGGTAAGGCCCTGAGGGTGGCCGTGGCAGGTGAACGGAGGCTGAACCTCAGGACGGGTTGGGCCTGGCTCCACTGCTCTTCTGACCCCATCTTCCCAGAGCTGTGGGACTTTGTCCTTGCTTGAGAGGTATGGGGCCCCAGGGAGCCCTATCCTACAAGGGCAGCCCCTGTCCATGTCCAGGGTGTCCTGGCTGTAGTACTCCAGCCCCCAGGGACATGAAGTTCCTTGGCATTGCAGAAGGCAGACTTCCTCATGCAGGAGCTTGGGGCTGGGCTCAGAATAAAAGTTGGGCTGAAGTGCCCCTCACCTGCAGGACTCCCTGGGCAGGAGGCCCACGAGACAGAGGAAAGTGGGGCACAGAGTAGACACCTGAGCTCCAGATGCCCTGCAGGCTCACACTGTGCCCTGTCCTGGATGGAGCCAAGCCCGTGGCATTGCCTTATCACTACATTTTGTTTTCTCAATGATTTTGTAAGCTAAATTGACATAGGGCCCCTGCTTTGTGAATGAAGAGTCTCAGTGTCGGCGGGCTCAGGGGCTGGGGCACTGGCTAACGAACACTGGGCCTGCGTGGGCACAAGATCCACGTAGCCTACAGCCCTCTACATCCTGGGCTTCCTGACTCCCACCACCAGGGGCCTCAGCTATCCTCCCTCCTCCCTGTGGCCTGGCTCTTGTGACTGCTCCTTTCCTCGGGGCTTCCACCAGCTGCTCCCAGGCAAGCCATCCCCTCTGCCCAGCAGGGGCCTCCTCATGGGTGGAGATCAGCCGCCCCACCTGACACCCAGTTCCAGGGAGCTGGAACTTGCTGGGTGCTGCACGCACAATGCCCCTCACAGAGTGCTGGTGCATGGAATCCACATGACTCCCTTTCGAAATACAGGCAAAGGCAAAAACACATGTGCACGCTGCCGTGACTACATGATGGGACAGAGGAAAGTCAGTAAGTGACCAAAGAGGCCAAGGAGGCTCAAAAAACATGTCAAAATAAGGCAACACGGTCCCACCAGCAAGATGAAAGAAACAGAGTGACTAAAACAGTTGACAGAGAAACATACTCAGACCGAGGTACAAACACAGCTAAAAACCAACAACTACAATGGTACATAGGAGAGGAAATAGCACAATGGGAAAGAAACAACAGTCGACTGCAAAACAGCATCTAGGAAGAGCTACAACACTGCGGCAGGATTAGAGGCAAAGATCCAAGCCAAGACCTAGTAGGTGGAGACAACCAACACAATAGGCTACACCTCAACAAGGGGGTGCATATGGAGCTTGTGGCGGCAGACAACTGGGTGCCATCATGGTAGCACTAAGGATGAACTACAGGCTCTGTGTACATGGGTGGAGGAGACAAACACGCAAAAGCAGCAAGCACAAGAGGTGAGGGTGCTTGAGGAGACAAATGCCAGAGGAGAGCCCACACATGCGTCAAGCAGAGACAAACTGGCCCTGCACATGAAGGCTAAAGCTGGGACAACTAAAAACATGAAAACAAACAAGCAGCTCTATGGTCACTGGAAGAGCTGCAACTACAAGCCAAAGAGGCAGAGAGGTGACTGCAACAGAGAGAAAGCAAACACATCAAGTACAGGTAACCCTAGAGACAACTCCATGTAACACAGAGACAAAGCTACGAGGCGCACGTGCCTCCTTTGTAAAAAGACTACACAGCTGAATCATGCGCCACAGGAAAAACATGTGACAATGGTCCAGCTGTGAGAGAAAACTAGGCGACAGGTATAGCAGCAGACAAAAACTGAATGTGCTCCTGAAAAGGCTGAGTGGAAGCCGAAGTGCTGACAAGTAAAGGCCAGTGAGACACTGAGGCCACCGCTACAAGCAGAGGAAGTAACACAGCAGAAGAGCTTGACACAGGTCAAACCCCAAAACAAAAACAAACAGGGGAGACCAGATTCAGACAGGTCACCAAAGGGGGAGAAACAAAGCACCTTAGGAAAGCTGACCAGGAAAAAAGATTTAAACAAATAGAAGAGGCCCTGACTCAGGCCCCAGCCTTAGGACTGTCAGACATTATCAAGCCTTCCTTCCCATAAGTCACGGGGTCCTGACATTGTCCAAGGACACACTTGTCAAACAGACACGGTAGCCGCAGGATGGCCCCATGCTTTGGGATGCTTGCTGCCACCATGCTGCTGATGCAGAAGGATAATAAGTTGACTTTGGGATAACAACTGGCCATCCGAGTACCACCCTCAGTTATAGCCTAGATGGCCCAGAAAGGACACCACTGGTTGTCAAATCCGAGGATGACTGGGCATCAGGGGCCCTTATGTGAAATTCCCACCATACCTCTAGGACAACACACTCTCAACCCGGCCACTTTGCTTCCAGTCAGACTAGGACCCCCTTCAGGACTGCACGATTGTGCTAAAAGGGGTCTGGCAAACAGAATGTGCAGTGGTGACTCGGCGCTGTGGTAGAGGCCCAGCCTCTGCCTCGCGGAACCTCAGCCCAGAAGACAGAACTAACCACCTTGACAAAGGCTCTTGTGCGGACAAAAGACAAAAAGGTACTGACCCAAATATAAAAAAGAGGGCTCCCAAAGGCTGGGGGAAAGAAGATAAAGCACAAAAAATTTTACAGCTTCTAGATGCTGTATGGACCCCATGGAAGTGGCCATTCTACACTGCATGGGGCACCTGAAGACTGGGGCAGTAAAAGCCAGAGAAACCCAAGACACAGACAGGGGAGTAATTGGGCTATTGATGCCCCATGAATGGGGGGCCCTAGCTATGCCCCTCATCCCAGAGCTGCCCTTCCAGAGATCCCAAATTACTCTCCAAATGAAAACATCTTGTTTGCCTGAGAAGCTAAAACATATAAAAAGGGGGTAATAAAAGTTTGCTGATGGGAGGCTCGCCATCCCAAAGTGCTGGGCACAGGTTCATAAAACAATTCCATAAGGTGCCGCACATGGGAAAGATAGCATTAAAACATTGCTAGGTCACCACTCCTACGTGCCAGGACTCGTGGCAATTGCTCCGGGACCTGCACACAAAACAACCCAGGGTAAGGGCTAACCCGGCCCCTAAGGACCCAGGAGACAGGAGCTGCCCCATGTGAAAACTTTCACAGATTTTACTAAAATTGCCTCAAGCCGGTAGCTATCCATGAAGGTTGGTGCTTGTCTGCCCCTCTCAAGATGGATAGAAGCTTTCCCTGCCCAAACAGAAAAGACAAAAAGTGACCAAGGTGCTGTTAAGAGACATCATCCCAAGATCTGCACCGCCCCCATCCTGGGGTCAGACATGGGACCCACTCTGTAGCCCAGAGAGTCGAGGAGCTCACACAGGTGTTAAAGATGAAACAAAAGTTTCACAGTCTTGCTGGTCTCTTTTCCTTTTGTTGTAATTCTCCCTCTGCCCAACAGGAGTCAACCCCACCATAACAAGGTAAACGCTAATGGCAGTGATACACTATTAAAACTTACTATACAGAAAGCATCAAAGCGGGGAATGAAGTGAGACTTACAGAGCAGCCCCCCTTGAGCCCCCCTCCCCTGCCCCAGCCATGACTTCGTGTCTGGTACAGAGAAGACTGGCAACTACATCCTGCAAACAGAGTTTCGCTCTTGCAGGATTCATAAGGCTCTGTCTTCCTTCAAGGCTAAGTTATTAACCGCTTTGTCTGGCTTCCGTACGCTCACTGCTCCCCACCCATGTTTCTGTCAGTGGTATGCAGGAGGCGGCAGTGACCCTTAGCTGGAGATTCTGGAACTTGTCTTTTAACTGAGCCTGTTTCTACTCCCTGGCCTCTGTGCTGGGATACAGTTCGGCCTGGAGACACACACAGTAAGAAAACACTGTACGTACCGAGCCCCGCCTCCCCGTGGAGGACCCCAGCCCTTCCCCAGGAGGGAAGGTACATTACCAGTTTAAAGATTTTGGAGAGCGTGCCCTGGGCATCATGGGCCCCCTTGAATCCCTTGGACTTATAGTCGGAAGCTCTGCCTCCGTAGCCAAATCCTGGTTTCTGCCCCTCGGCCCCCTGCAAGAAAAGACCAGAACTCAGTGTCCACTTGTGGTTCCCAGCAGGGAAGGACACACACTACAGATCTGGTGGGTCTCAGGAGTCACAGGCCAGATTACAAGGGGAGAGATAGGAGAGGACCCTGTTCCCAAGTCTATCAAGGTGTCACTTGTAGGGAGGTTTCTAGCATGGGTTGGAGCTATGCAGTGTGGACGGAGGCCCAAGTGTACAGTTTCACAGACCTCTAAGTGGAGTTTCCACACCCCTTTTCTCTCTGGGTGAGTTTGGGCAAGGGCTGGAAGCCCTCTAAGATCCAGTTTCCTTCTTTATAGCTGGGGCTAGCAACGGCCCTTTCTCCCCTGGGGGGATGTGAGAACACGGACCCTTAGAGGGGATGCTGCCCCAGAGTACAGCCTGCAAGCTCTCCACCTCCAAGCTCACGTCGCTGGGGGTGCTGCATGGAGAAG